CTAATTATTAAAAAAAAACCTTGCTCATTAAAATTCAAATCAAAAAGAAAAATGTAAAGAAGAAAATAACAATCAGCTTAAATCCTACTACTTAGACGTGGCAGTTTGGAGAAATATATCTGACTAATCATTGGTGGCACATTTATTACGCCTGGGTGGCTTAGTCAATTAAGTGTCTGCCTTAGGCTCAGGGTCCTGGGATCGAGTCCCGCATCGGGCTCCTTGCTCAGCGGGGAGCCTGCTGCTTCCCCTGCTTGTGCTTGCTCACTCACTCTCTCTCTGACAAATAGATAAATAAAATCTTAAAAAAAAACCTGCACACAGTAGAAACTGAAATGTGAGTGTTCCCACACATGGTTCAGGGTGGGAGCTCTGGTCTCTGGCCACCGGAGTTTAAATCCCAGCTCTCCTGCTTGTTACTGTGTGACATAGGACAAACCTACTTAACCTGTTTGACCTCAGTTTTCTCATCTGCTAAATGAAAGTGTTGGAGTTTCTTCCTTATGGGGTTGGTGTGAGAATTTAATGAGTAGCCCAGTGCTTTGCATGTAGTAAGTCCCCAGCAAAAGTTAGCTAGTGTTGTCGTTTTGCTATTAGTGTGGATTGTGTATATCCATAAATGGGATCACGCTTTGCATTTTTTTATACCTTACAATGTGTTATAAAATGTTCTTCATGTTAATATAGTTGCATCTGGATGCTAGTGTTGATGGTTCTGTTGTATAGTTGTGACACACTTTATGTATTTAGCCTATCTCCACTTGTTAGATTTTCAGGTTGTCAGTTGTTTCTTTGCCATAACTAAAACGCAAAAATAAATAAGAAAGAGAGAAAAAAAGAAAGTTGTATTGAACTTCCACTATATATTTATTCTATTTTATTATCTCTTTGGCATGAATTCCTAGAAATAGCATTGTTGTGTTGAATAGTAGGAGTATTTACTATTACTTTTCATACTGCCACTCTCCTTTCTGGAAAGATGGTATCAAATTACTACATCTGTCAGCCATGGGTGAGAATGCCCAATTTTCTACACCTGTGCTAGAACTGGATTCTGTCCACCTTTCAACTTCAGCAAATCTGAAAAGGGAAAGGCATCTTCTACTTATTTTGCATTTCACTTATTAGTATGTTTGAACATCTTTTCAAAGTGTGTTAGCTGCTTTGTATTTCTTATTTTGTGACTTGTGATTTCAGTTTTTTGTATTTTTTTGTTGATTTGTAGGAACTCTTTGGATATCAGAGATAGTGACACTTTTGTTTGTAATATATTGGAAATCTTGTTAAGGTTGTCTCAAGTAACGAAAGGCGTATAGTATCTCAAATGAGAATAAATCATTGCGCAAATATTATGAATCTCTAGCTGGTGCTCATATACATGTTTGGAATGGAAACCCGCATTTAGAGTCTCAAAGAGATTGTTTTATGACCTGGTCATTATGAATAAGGGAGGCCTTTTATTACTGACATTAGGCAATGCATAATTGCCAGAAAACTGCCACCTTCGATGCATGTCCACATGTACCGTGCTGAACCCTTGATTGTGCCCTTAACCTAACCATTCTTTCCAACATGCCTTTTTATTTACTCTTTACCATGTCCCAGGTCAGCGACCTCGGAGTTATCCATGTACCTTTTCCAAGTTGAAGGGTGTCTGGTTCTCAGCCTCCCTTCCCAGAAGGTTAATCCCACCTCCCCTGGCTGCCCGCCCCACCTGGTTACTGCTATTGTAGTCAGGCCTTGTGTTAGAATGATTTGGTGCACACTTGCTTCTGCTAAAAGACTGTGAGCTCCCCAGAAGGGAGATGGGGACCTGACTTACTTTTGTACCTTCAGACTCTCACAGCATGGCTCAAAATAAGTACCGCATAAATGTTCGTTGCATTTGATATTTCCTTTTAAAAGTTGATGATGCTTGAGCCTCTGTAGTCTACTGGTAGTTTAACCATTTTTCCCAACCTTTTGTTATGAAAAATTTCAGAAGTTCAGGGGAATTGAAAGATGAAAAACACAATCTTGCCCCCTAAATTTACCTATTGAGATTCATATCACTCTGACATGTAGCTAATCCTCTGCTCAGAAACCTACAGTGACTCCTTTCTGGCCACTGGAGCAGATGTGAACTGTAGCATTCCTTACCCTTAAATGGTCACAGCTCACAAAATGTTGCCCTCTCTGCTGGGTCAGGCCAGTCTTACTGTTCTTCTCCCATACTGTCTTTATTCTTGCATCATTGATTTTACACATGTTGTTTCCCATGTCCTTCCCAAAAGGAAGAGAACATGCTTCTCTTCCTTTTTTCTTGATTGAAAACTTTTGCACATTAAGTGTTTTGAGTTCCCATAGCTCTAATTGCTATCTTTTATCATTCTTTCATTCTGTACAATTCCTGACCACATTATTCTAGCTGTTGGAAGGGGACTACTGGGTCCTATTTTGATCTGGTTACCTTCATAGAGCCTAGTGTTCTGACTTTGGATTTGGCTGGCTTTTTTAGAATAACATTCCTGAAGCATTTGTGCTATGATGTGAATCCAGCATTGATTTACAATACCTATGTTGCCCCAAAACTATGCTCTGTTAGAGAAAAACAAAAGCTTATCACTGTAAGTCAGATTACTCTGGTCTGTTTGATCAGCTTGTCGCAAGAGCATGGTTCACCCGAAAGAATGGAAAGGTGTTCTGTGGTGTTGGTCACTCCTTTTGCGATTGTTCCCAAGAATTGATTTGCACTTGCACTTTGGAGTCATTAAAACTTACATCAAGTATAAAGCTAGAATAAGTAAGTCTGAAGTCTAGGAATTGTCCCTGCCGTGAATCACTGGGTTAAAGAGATTCACATGAAAAACGTTTTAGCGAGAGGCCATTAGGCCTTAGTGACTGATGCCATTTGTGAGGGTCCAAGTTGACTTGAGTATTTTTCAAGCTTAGAAACGGAGATAAAGATGATATTCCCGAGAAAGAAAAACTAGGAAGGGAAGCTGATGCTGGCGACATTAACTCCATACTTAAACATGAATTCAGACTGTGTCAATTCCCTGCTCTTACTGAACTGGTGACTCCCATTGTTTATTTGACAAAGCCCAGTTCCTTTGTAATCAGGGTCCCTTGTTAGATACCTGCCATTCCCATCCGAGCACCCTACCCCCCCACCCCCCACCCACTGGTAGTGCCACAGCCATACCTAATCACTTGTGTTTCTCTGATACTGTTGGCTGTTTTTCATTATTATTTTGTAGGGGAATACTGTTTCCTCTACTTAGAATGCTATCCAAGTCTCACCCAGTAAATTCCTATTCATTCTTCTAAATCCTGTTCAGGTGTCACATCCCTTGTAAATACTTTCTTACTCTTCCTGTGTGAGAGCACATTTTACACTGCTGTCCTTCTTTTACCTGAATGTCCTCCCTACTGTGTTCTGAGCTGCTTAACGGAAAAGGATGGTGTTCCCCCTGATTTCATACGGGCCTAGCTCACACGTGTGCTCTGAACCATTAGTTGAGCCTGTCATATAACCCATCTGGATCATGAAAAATTTTCCTTTTTCTTGGAAGGCAGAATTAGGTGTAGTTAAGAGAAAATACAAATATATATATTTGTCTATATATTTCTCTTTTCCATTGTAACCCATGTACTTTTTATTTTATTTTAATTTCAGCAAGTTTGTGAAAGATGAAAGTGACCTTATCAGCTTTGGATACTTGTGAGAGTTCCTTCACACCTTTGGTCGTCCTAGAACTGGCTCAGGATGTCAAAGAAGAAACCAAAGAATGGCTGAAGAACAGAATTATCTCTAAAAAGGAAGATGGAGGTGAGTAAAATAAATATAACTCAGACTTAGTGATGTTCAGTGACTAAAAATATTTTTTTAAATGTGTTTTACAGTTATTTCATTGATGTATTTCTAAAATTAATATCCATTTCTTTGCTCTTTATTATTTATCTGGACTTGAAAGGAGATCTTAAGTCCACATTAGACTATAAGCAACATGAGTGGTTTTGTTCACAGCTATAAATACTATGTCTAGTACACAGCCTGTCACATAGTAGGTCAATATTTATCAAATGAATGAACAAGTATCTACTGAGTGCTTTTTATGTGTCAGTTATGATGCTAAGGGAGAGATTAATATGGTCTCTGCCTGCAAGGATGTTACTATCAGTGTAAGGAGACTGAATGCCACCTCCTGGAAATTGAAGTAACAGGACAAAAAACCCGAAAGAAAGAGCTGTTACACAGCAGTGCATGATACTTAAAAATGAATTGTATGTAAACTAGCTGGAAGAGTAAAGGGAAGACAGAGGTGGCAGTTGGTGATGGTTTGGGGCTGGAAAAGGATGACTTTATAGAAGCCAAAGCTTAGCCCTCTCCTGAAGGGCAGAAAGGGATCTAGATTGGGTGAGAGGGTGGAGGACATTTTACATGAGCAAACACTTCATAAAACTATACAAAACAAGAATTGATTTGCACTTGCACTTCACCTAAAACTTCATCTAAAACTTCACCAAGTCTCCAAACACTGAATAAAACTTACATAGACTGTTTTTAATAAAGATTTTGACTGTAACTGAAATGGTTCCTTTATAATAAAACCTTGAATCCTAGTGGAATTTTTAAGTTTTTGCAAACAACTGAATCAAAAGAAAACTTAAAAAAGAGTACCTTCTTACTGAAATCTGAAGTGTTTCCCTGGGTTGGAGTCTCTTCTTTAAAATTCCTGTGATGGAAGGACATTTGTAGTGCCTAAGAGCGAGGGACTCCAGTGTATTCCCAGTCTTCCCTGCTCACTGTGTTGCCTTCAGCAGAGAGACACAAGGATAGGGTGGGGGTGGGCACCTTTCTACACTGCTGGGAAATATGAAAAGAACATTGCAAAAAAGTATTCTGATCTTTCAGGTAAAAGTAGTGGATTTCACACTCAGGTTTACTTTTACTCTCTTTCAAACATGACAATAAAAGGATTTTTTTAAAAAAGAGGTAAGTCCAGGGGCGCATGGGTGGCTCAGTTGTTAAGCGTCTGCCTTCAACTCAGGTCATGATCCCAGGGTCCTGGGATCGAGCCCCACATCGGGCTCCCTGCTCGGCGGGAAGCCTGCTTCTCCCTCTCCCACTTCCCCTGCTTGTGTTCCTGCTCTCGTTATCTCTCTGTCAAATAAATAAATAAAATCTTAAAAAAAAAAAAAAAAAAGAGGTAAGTCCAGTTTGACAAAGAAGAAAGGAAAGAATATAACAGCAGCACCATTTTGGAAGCTAGGAAACAGGTGGATGAGTGGTAAATAACTTCTCAGACTTGAAAAAGTCAAAGCTGAAGTTGGCAGGGATACAAATTGAGGTTTTGCAGTTTAAACCAAAGACTTAGGTATTAGTGACTTTAGGGGCTTTTGGAGGTGGAAATAAGTGGTACCAAGAAAAAGAAAAAAGAATTGGCTGAGATTCATTTAAGAAATAGATCCCCCGTTCCCTTCTGTATTCTACCATCACAGCAGAAGACTGACTTTTCTCTGCAGAGGGGTCAGATGCTTGGATTTTGGCATGGGGGCTTTATGCACAGTTGAAAATAGAGATTCTGTACTGAAAATAGGATAATAACTGATTATTATTACCCCTATCCTCCATCCCACCAATCTCATATCTAATTTAGTTTCTAAAATATTAGCAGCTAGATTCAAATCATCTAAGAAGCAGATTGAATAATCTGTCTTGGGGAGTCTGATCAAAGACAAAATAAGCAAAGGTGCAGAAATCAGAGAGTTGACCATGGAAAACCTGGCCAGATGACTATGCTTAAAGGCTATCTTTAATGAGCTCCATCTAAGCCTTCAGAACTTAAGTACAGCCTCCTAGAACCCCTTTCTTAAACATGCACATATAATAAAAGATCACCAAACATCTGAGAAAAATCCCTAACATGAAAGAGAAAGCTAAAACTAAACAAACAGATAAAAATAGCTAACTCTGCAGAAAAAGAAAACCAAGAGAAAATTTAAAACTCAACTCTCAGTAATGAGAAGGTAGGACAGACATTCTATAAATCGAGTTGGATACTGTAATATATTCATTTAGGAAAAAAAGCTCATATAAAGTAGAAGTATAAAAGCAAAATTTAAAAACTTGGTAAAAGGGTTAGAAGATAATTTTGATAAAATCCCCCAGAAAGTAGAGCAAAAGGTACAGAATTGGGAACTTTGACTGAGAAAAAGTAAGGAAGTTAGAGGACTAGTCCAGGAGGTATACATCTGAATAAAAGGAGTTCTAGAAAGGGAACAGAGAAAAAGGAGAAGAAATCATCAAAGGAAGACACTCAAGACTGATGCCATGCTTTTTCAGTTGGAAAGGGCCCACCCAGTGCCCTGCACTATAGATGAAAATGGCTTACCATTAGAATGTTCTGGAACCCTGGGAATGGAGAAGGTACTACAAACTTCAAGAAAGAAAGACAATAGGTCACACATAAAGGATCAGACTTCTGAGCAGAAACGTGGGAAGCTAGAAGGCATTTTCCAAAGGAAATCAACTTGTAATTCTTATTTATTGGGAAGATAGATTTGAATTGTTAATACATTTTTCTTTCTTTTTTTTTTTTTTAATTTTATTTATTCATTTGAGACAGAGAGATACAGAGAGCAAGCATGAGCAGGGGGAGAGGTGGGGGGAGAGTGAGAAGCAGACTCCCCGCTGAGCCAGGAGCCTGACGTGGGCCTCCATCCCAGGACCTGGGGCTCCATCCCAGGACCTGGGGCTCCATCCCAGGACCTGGAGATCATGACCTGAGCCGAAGGCAGATGCTTAACCATCTGAGCCACCCAGGCACCCCATAATACGTTTTTCTTATATCAAACTGGAAACAATACTTATTTAGAATGTTTTCCTTTTTGAAACTTTTCTAAGATTGTGCTTATCTTTTGTTTTTGAAGGTGCCCAGCTCCTATTTAGACCACTATTAAATAAATATGAGAAAGAAACACTAGAAAATCAGAACTTATATCTTGTCGGTGCCTCCAAGATTACATTGTTACTGGGTGCAGAAGCAATAGGTTTGGTAAAAGAGTGTAATGATAACACTATGAGAGCCTTCACATATGGAACCCGACATAACTTCAAAGATTTTGATGGTGAGTCCCAAGATTGTTTTTAACAGAATTAATTTATCTCAAAAATAAGCTTTTGATGAGTAGGTCAGGGGTCAGCAAACATTTTCAGGAAAGGGCCAAACTGTAAATATCTTAGGCTGTGTGGGCCATACGCTTTCTCACAGTTATTTGACACTGTCCTTGTAAAGCAAAAGTAGGCTTAGACCGTAAGAAATGAATGGGTGCAGCTGTTCCACTAAAATTCGCTTTTAAAGTATGGTCCATGGGCCTTTCTTTGCGACCCCTGGAATAGATGAGCATAAATTATTGTGACACATGTAATTTATTTATATTATTCTATCCTAATTCTCAGGATGGTGAATGTTCACTAGCTTGATACAGAAAAATCTTATAATGAGAAATGCAGTAGTAGTTCAGAATCGTAGAATTGCCATTTTCCTGGTAGGGTAACTGGTTCTCTTCTGGTCTCACAGGGGGTCCAGAAGAGAATGGTTTCTGGAAAGCACTGAGAAAGCCGGGCTGACCAAGATGTCAGAGTGGGAGTTTGGCTTCAGAATAAATCGGTCCCTGCCAGAGCTTTTAGAGTTAGTAGAAGATGTGATATGATTAGGCTTCTTCAGACTCACTCTGGATTTGTATATCTTAGTGCATAAATGATAATGGGAAAATTCACCACATTTAAGAGGATTCACTTGCCAAAAAACAATACTGTTTTCTTTTTTAAGATTTTATTTATTTGAGAGAGAGAGAGCGCCCGCACGAACAGGGGGAGGGGCAGAGGGAGAGGGAGAAGCAGACTCCCCACTGAGCAGGGAGCCTAATGCTGGGGCTCGATCCCAGGACCCCAAGATCATGACCTGAGCTGAAGGCAGGCACTTAACCAACTGAGCCACCCAGGCACCCCAACAGTACTGTTTTCTTATCAGACTATCTTCTCCCCCATTTATGGGAAGGGAAGGGCCTGGGCTTGCGAGTTTGGAGGAGGAAAATTTGTCATACAGCCAAACTTCAGTTCCATCCCTAGTTAGAATAGTGTTAGAATTAAAGAGCATGTTGCCTTCTGCTCGTTGGTATTAGATAAGATCAAGCAAGTATCTGCCATTTAGATGTTTGTACTATATTCTATAAGAACTAGTACTGTATGTAGTCCCCCCACCTTAGCGGTGGGGGGGACACATTCCGAGACTCCCAGTGGGTGCCTGAAATAGCAGTTAGTATGTGCTGTTTTCTTATACACATCCCTGTGATAAAGCTTAATTTGTAAACTAGGCACAGTAAGAGATTAACAACAATAATAAAGTAGGACAATGATAACAATCTACTGTAATGAAAATTATGCAAATATGGTCTCTCTGTCCCTCAAAGTATCTTATTTTACTGTGTGTACCCTTCTTGTGATGATGTGCTGATGAGGTGAGGTGAAGGTGAATGACCTAGGCTACCACTGACCTTCTGATGATAGGTGAGAGGGAGGGGATCAGCCACTTCTGGACTGTGATTCACGGGGGTAGCTAATTGCCCAGAAAGCACAACTGCAGATAAGGGGGGACCATTGTACAATGATTGAAGAATTGTATTATGTGAAGGCAAACAATATTTTTATTCTTACAGAATATCTAAGGTGCTTTACATTCTGTTTAATTTAGCAGTTTTATACTTTGCTTACTCCTTGTTTATTGTTTATATCATCATTTCTATAATCCCAAGTTATTTGAATGTTATTAATTTTATTTTGGCTGTTACTGAGAAAATAACTGGAAATTTTTGCATTCATTTAGATGACAATGATGACTTCCTTACAGTGGCAGAATGTCAATTCATTATCAAACATGAGCTTGAAAATCTTAGAGCCAGAAATGAAAAGATGATCCCTGGTTACCCCCAGGCAAAGTTGTATCCAGGAAAATCATTATGTAAGTCATTGTATCAACCAGCTTCATGAATACACATTATAATGCAATTATCTTTTCTTAGTAGACATGAATAACTAATTAGAAAGGCTTTATTTTTTTTTCCTCTTGCTGAAAAATACATAGAACTTTACAATAACTTATTTTTTCGTGAACATATCTTTTGCTACTAGAGCTTCATTATATTGTACCTTTAGATCAATATATTTGTTCTGTATGGTTTGCTACTTATTTATCAAGGTCTCGCAGCATTCAGTTAGCTTAAAATTGGATGTGAATACATACATATATTACTCATGTTAAGATTGGCAAAGTTTCCTTTATGTCCAGACACTCACTCTAGGGAGCCTGGGGAGGAATGAGAACAGGAGCCATCGTCTTTTCCTGGAGCCCTCTTTCCATCTGCTCTCATCTCAGTGAGTGGGAACTTGGGAACAAGGCTTAGGAAGAGCACAAAGTGACATAATACCTGAATGCAAATCAGCAGTTTGTAACTTCGTGTGTCATTCCATTTGAGTGAGAATACTAGTTTGCAGATGAAAGTGCTCACTACAGTGTGTGATTCCAAGGTTGCCTCAAACTCCCCCAGATGGTGGCCAAGGCCTCAGAGCATTTTTGCCGCCCAAATGCACTTCAAACATATAAGCCGCTGTGTTCTCTAGGCAGTATAATACTATCTTCCAGTCTTCCCCCCGCTCACCCCGGGAGGACAGATGCCTGAGAACCAGCCGACTGCCTTTTCTTTGTTGATATTGTCTTTTGATGCATAAAATTTTAAAATTTTCATGGAAGTCCAACTTACCTATTTTTTCTTTTTGCCTGTACCTTTGGTGTCATATCTGAGAAATTATTGCCAATGTCATGAAATAAAATCCAAGGTCATGAAGCTTTTCTTCTATATTTTCTTCTACAAGTTTTATAGTTTTGGGTCTTATATGTAGGTCTTTCTTTAATCCATTTTGAATTAACTTTTGTCTCTGGTGTTAGGTAAGAGTTCAGTTTCTTTTTTCTTTTTTTTTTTTTGAGGGTTCGGTTTCATTCTTTTGCATGTGGATATCCAGTTTTCCCAGTACCATTTGTTGGGAAGACTGCCCTTTCCCCATTGAATGGTCTCAGTACCCTTGTCGCAAATCATTTGATCATATATGTGAGGGTTTGTTTCTGGCCTCTGTTCTATTACATTGGTCTATATGTCTGTATGCCAATACCACATTGTTTTGGTTCCTGTGGCTTTGTGGTCATTTTTTTTTTTTTTTAAGATTTTAGTTATTTATTTGAGAGAGAGCGAGAGAGGGAGAGAGAATGAGCATAAGCCAGGAGAGGGGCTGAGGGGGAGGGAGAGGAAGAGGGAGAGAATCTCAAGCATACTCCATGCTGAGCGTGGAACATGATGTGGGGCTTGATCTCACGACCCTGAGCCAAGCCAAAACCAAGAGTCGGCTGCTTAACCAACTGAGCCACCCAGCACCCCAGCTTTATGGTATGTTTTAAAATCAGGAATTTTTTTCTTCTTTTTCAAGATTATTTTGGCTATTTGAGGTCCCATGAAATTCCTTATGAATTTTACAGTGGGTTTTTCTATTTTTGCAAAAGTCCTCACTGGGATTTTGATAGAGATTGCATTGAATCTGTAGATTGCTTTGGGTAGTATTGACATTTTAACAATGTTAAGTCCCATGAACATGGGATGTGTTTCCATTTATGTATGTCTTATTTCATTTAGCATTGTTTCGTAGTTTTTCATTGTGTGAATCTTTTATGTCTTTAGTTAATTTCTAAGTATTTTATTCTTTATTATGCTAGTATAAATGGGATTGTTTCCATAATTACCTTTTCAGATAGTTCATTGTTAATGTATAGAAATGCAACTTCTTTTTGTTTATTGATTTTGTATCCTGCTACTTTGCTGAATTCATCTATTAGCTATGACAGTGTTTTTGCAGAAAAGTTAGGGTTTTCTACACAAAATATAATATCACTTGTCAACAGAGATAATTTACTTCTTCCTTTCTAATTTGGATGCATTTTATTTCTTCGGTAATTGTTTGGGCTAGAACTTCCAATTCTATGTTGAATGGAAGTGGTGAAAGTGGGCATCTTTGTCTTATTCCTGATCTAAAGGAAAAGCTTTCAGTCTTTCACCACTCAGTATGATGTTTGCTGTGGGCTTTTCCCAGATGGATTTTATTATGTTGAGGTAGTTTCCTTCTAGTCCTAGTTTGTTGAGTGTTTTTATCATAAAAGTGAATTTTATTAAATGCTCTTTCTGTATCAGTTGAGTTGATAATGTGGTTCCCCCCCCTTTCTGTTATTATGGTGTGTTACAGTAGGCCAATTTTTGTACTTGAACTATCCTTGCATTCCAGGAATAAATTCCACTTGCTTGATATATGATCTTTTTACTGTGTGGGTGAGTTGAGTTTGCTAGTATTTTGTTGAGTATTTTTGCGTCATTGTTCGTCGGGTATGTTGGTCTGTAGTTTTCTTGTAGTATTGTTGTCTGGCTTTGTATCAGGGTAATGCTGGCCTAATAGAATGAGTTAACAGTGTTCCTCATCAATTTTGGGGGAAAGTTTGAGAAGGATTGGTATTGATTCTTTAAATATTTGGTAAAATTCACCAGCGAAGTTGTCAGGTCCAGGGATTTTCTTTGTCAGGAGATTTTTCAGTGTCCTTAGTAATTCAGACTCCTTACTAATTATAGACCTATTCGGATTTTCTGTTGCTTCTGACTTATGGTAAGTTTTCATGGTAGGTTTTGTATTTCTAGGAATTTGTCCATTTCATGTGGGTTATCTAGTTTGTTGTTAGACAGTTGTTAATAGTACTCTCTTACAATCCTTTCTATTTCTGCAGAATTGGTAGTAATGTCCCCATTTCTATTTCTGATCTTTGTAAGTTAAGTCTTCTCTCATTTTTTCTTATTTCATCTAGCTAAGTATTTGTCAATTTTGTTGATCTTTTCCAGGAACCAACTTTGGTTTCTTTAGTTTTCTGTATTGTCCTTCTTTCCTCTATTTTGTTTATCTCTGCTCTAATCTTCATTATTTCATTCCTTCTGCTAGCTATGGATTTAGTTTGTTCTTCTTTTTCTAGTTCCTTAATTGTAAAATTAGGTTGTTCATTTGAGGTCCTTAGCCACAAATTTCCTCCCTTTCTCTGTGTCTCCTAAGTTTTGTTGTGTTTTTGTTTTATTCATTGCTAAATATTTTCTAATTTCCCCTGTGATGTCTTCTTTGATCCATTGGTTGTTTAAGAATGTGTTTTTTTAATTTCCACACATTTGTGAATTCTTCAGTTTTCCTTCTGTTACTGATTTCTAACTTTATCCCATTGTGGTCTGAGGATATTCTTTATGATAGATCTTTTAAATCTGTTGAGACTTAATTTGCAGCCTAACATATAACTGATCTATCCTGGAAAATGTCCCATGTGCACTTGAGAAGAATGTGTTTTTGGTCCTTTATTGTCTGACTTACATGTAAACTGGATTTTGTGGACTCTCCTGTCTCTGAGTTATACTGTAGATATATGCTATGGATGCTTTTATTTGTTCTCCTTGTTGATCTGTATGGCTTTTAGGAGGTATCAGGAAATTTGATTCTTATTTGTCTACATTCCCAGTTATCTGCATATGTCTTGATATTGATTATATTATAGCAGTTTTTGTTGGACATATATATTTTCAATGTATAGATTAAAGATTACCATGATGGGGCGCCTGGGTGGCTCAGATGGTTAAGCGTCTGCCTTCGGCTCAGGTCATGATCCCGGAGTCCTGGGATTGAACCCCATGTCAGGCTCCTGGCTCCGCGGGGAGCCTGCTTCTCCCTCTGCCTCTCTCCCTGCTCATGCTCTCTCTCTCTCTCTGTATCTCTGTGTCTCAAAATGAATAAATGAAATCTTAAAAAAAAAAAAAAAGATTACCATGATTGCAGAAGAATTTTTTTCAGTAACCTTTTAAGAGTTACTTGGTTGTATTTACTTTCTTCTTGTCTTTAGGTAAGCCAATTATGTGTATGTGGGCTCTTAAATATTCTCTGAAATATTTTTAAGGTTTTCTGTAATTTTCTTAGGCTTGTCTACCATTTTCCTGGCTATGTTTTCAGTCTTTCCTGGTAGCTTTTTTTATGACTTTGTATCTGTAGTAGTTTTGTGTCTGTCTTAAATCACTTTTCTGAGCTCTCACCTTCAGCTCTTATAGCTCTTTGGGTTTTAATTTCAGAGAGATGGCTTACTTTCATTTCTTTAACTTTCATTTCTTTAATTTCATAGGCTTTCATTGCTTGCTATAATTTCCTGCTATGTTTCTTTTCTGCCTTTGTTTCTGGTTGCCTTTTCCCTGTAATGTTTCTGCATAGTTCTATGCCAGTTACTTGTGGTTATTACTTACTTTCTAGTGAGCCCTTGTTTTTCCAGACCACTGTCTTTTCCAGCAGATGCAGTTCAGGAGTCCACCATGAGTCCTTTTTGCCCATATCTGGGCAGTGGGGCAATCCCCACCCCTCGTGTCCAGGAGAACCCTGCCCTCTCCTCCTTGACCCCACTGTGCAGAGGTATGGGTGCTTTTAGCTTAGCCTGGGCTGACTTTTAAAGCCTCTTCTCATGGTTTGTGATTTGGATTTATAGGTTTTTTTCCTTACTTTCATCAAAGATAGGTGTTTCCCTTTATGTGTCTTGTTTCCTTTGTTGTTTTTAACTTTTGTCATGAACAAGAACAGGGCAGAGGTGTCTTTCTGCCACTATTTGTTACCAGGAGTTCCTCATTCTGTATTCAGGCAGTTGTTTGGTGCCTTTACAGAATTTTAAATCTTTCTTAATCTCTTAGTGGGAATAAGACACAGCTGGGTACAAAACAGACTGAGGCACTGTCTTGGTGGTTAATGTCAGCATCCCATTTCTTCCTGTTTATCCACATTATTCAGATGCTTATGTGGAAGCCCCTGCTTCCTTCTGCTAGTTTCTGCACAGGTACATCCTCTTTCTGCTGCTGGGACTGAGAC